GGTTCTAGTTATTGATGGGGAACATGTAGAAATTAGTTGAGATTGGTCTTTTAAAAATTGCCAATGTCAATATATTGGGATCTTTTAATTCGTGTGGCAATAGGAGCGCCGGCGGACGGTGCATGACACAATATTTATATCCTATATTCGTCCGGTCGTTACAATCGGGAATGTTTGTAGTGTTGTTTTAATACGATTAAGATTGGGACAAGTATGATCAAGATAGTCCTAAATTGCAACAACTCAATAACTTGTTTAGAAGTATTCTACAGTACAAATATCATTTAAATAAAGGTGTTCTCTTGAAGAGTGATGGAATTCAATGTATAAACAATTCCCATGTTGGCAACGGCCCTAAAATGACCTGTCACAGGAATGTCTTTGTAATGAAGGATGAATCCATTCAACTTCCACTTTCGTTTTTAAGCGCTTGGGTTGCCACGGTCACATATATGTTTGCATCGGAAAGGGCTATTTGTATTTGTAAGTCAAGCGTTTTGCTGACTGAGTCTGGTTGAGATGTTGCTTTTGTTCATTTTCTGTTCATATCGATGTTATAAGACGACGCAGATGCACAATGTTTAGTGAATTATCCAGGGCAAAAGGCTTTTGCAGATATAGCTAAAGGGGTTTATTTTATTTTCGCAAATAACTTATTAAGGATTTTGTTTCATTAATAACAAAAAAGCTAATGGCTAGCGTGAGCACAGACTTTATAGTGCTATCTCACTGAAATGCCATGCTGTAGGTAACAAGCTCAGCATCCGCTTTGTCAAATTATACTGACAACGGGTGAACCAGTTGTTGCCATTCCCTTAATGCTGAACATTTAGCAGGGAATAACAGCTACCATTTTTAAGGACTTAAATCGGTATGTCCCGGCCTGTGGACAGATTCCATTGCCTTCTTCACCTGGGCGTAAACGCTCAACATTCAAGCCAAAAGTGAGGTGTTGCCAAGCAAGGCGCTAGGAAATAAAAGGTAGGTAGGGGTAGAAAGAAAGATAAAGATCCAAAATATTGCAATGGGTGCAGCAGATTTTTTTGGGTCGCTTTTGTGTCCCCAAATAGAGGACACCAAAGCAAATCCCCAATTCTGCAGGGGGTTCTTTCATTAGTTGCCTCCTACGATACATGCAGTGGGTAACAGCAGGTGTATTCTTTTTTACCCGATCCCCCACCTGCAGGGGTGTTTTGACAGGGCCAGAGGAAACTCGAGCTGATACCATAGGTACCTTGCCTCTTCTGCCAATACATCCATAACATAGACAAGGTTGCAAATTCTGTCCCGCTAGTAAAATAACGCTGTTCCTGAAAACATGTGATTTCGTCATAACCATGTTTAATATCATCCCGGGAGCAGTCTAGACTGACAGGGAAATATTTTTTCTTGAATTTGATGTATGATTTACCATATATGCAGTATAATGTTTGGTAGATTTCATGAAATATCGAAAAATAATCAAATTGACGTGGACAGACGCTGCTGTTCACAGGATGACCTACTAAATACTTAGTGGGTAGCACTAAACACACAGCCACTGTTCATAGGATGACCGAATAAATACTTAGTGGGTAGCACTAAACACACAGCCACTGTTCACAGGATGACCTACTAAATACCTAGTGGGTAGCACTAAACACAAAGCCACTGTTCACAGGATGACCTACTAAATTCCTAGTGGATAGCACTAAACACAAAGCCACTGTTCACAGGATGACCTACTAAATACCTAGTTGGTAGCACTAAACACACAGCCACTGTTCATAGGATGACCTACTAAATACCTAGTGGGTAGCACTAAACACAAAGCCACTGTTCACAGGATGACCTACTAAATCCATAGTGGGTATACGTAGCACTAAACACACAGCAACTGTTCACAGGATGACCTACTAAATACTTAGTGGGTATACGTAGCACTCAACACCCAGCCACTGTTCACAGGATGACCTACTAAATACTCAGTGGGTAGCACTAAACACACAGCCACTGTACACAGGATGACCTACTAAATACCTAGTGGGTAGCACTAAACAAACAGCCACTGTTCACAGGATGACCTACTAAACACCTAGTGGGTAGGCTAGCACTAAACACACAGCCACTGTTCACAGGATGCCCTACTAAATACTTAGTGGGTAGCACTAACACACAGCCACGGTTCACAGGATGACCTACTAAATACCTAGTGGGTAGCACTAAACAAACAGCCACTGTTCACAGGATGACCTACTAAATACCTAGTTGGTAGCACTAAACACACAGCCACTGTTCACCGGATGACCTACTAAATACTTAGTGGGTAGGACTAAACACACAGCCACTGTTCACAGGATGCCCTACTAAATACTTAGTGGGTAGCACTAACACACAGCCACGGTTCACAGGATGACCTACTAAATACCTAGTGCGTAGCACTAAACACACAGCCACTGTTCACCGGATGACCTACTAAATACTTAGTGGGTAGTACTAAACACACAGCCACTGTTCATAGGATGACCGAGTAAATACTTAGTGGGTAGCACTAAACACATAGCCACTGTTCATAGGATGACCGAATAAATACTTAGTGGGTAGCACTAAACACTAAACACACAGCCACTGTTCACAGGATGCCCTACTAAATACTTAGTGGGTAGCACTAACACACAGCCACGGTTCACAGGATGACCTACTAAATACCTAGTGCGTAGCACTAAACACACAGCCACTGTTCACCGGATGACCTACTAAATACTTAGTGGGTAGTACTAAACACACAGCCACTGTTCATAGGATGACCTACTAAATACCTAGTGGGTAGCACTTAACACAAAGCTACTGTTCACAGGATGACCTTCTAAATACCTAGTGGGTAGCACTAAACACAAAGCTACTGTTCACAGGATGACCTTCTAAATACCTAGTGGGTAGCACTAAACACAAATCTACTGTTCACAGGATGACCTACTAAATCCCTAGTGGATAGCACTAAACACAAAGCCACTGTTCACAGGATGACCTACTAAATACTTAGTGGGAATACGTAGCCCTAAACAAACAGCCCCTGTTCACAGGATGACCTACTAAATACTCAGTGGGTAGCACTAAACACACAGCCACTCTTCACAGGATGACCTACTAAATACTTAGTGAGTAGCACTAAACACACAGCCACTGTTCACCGGATGACCTACTAAATACTTAGTGGGTAGTACTAAACACACAGCCACTGTTCATAGGATGACCGAATAAATACTTAGTGGGTAGCACTAAACACATATATGCAGTATAATGTTTGGTAGATTTCATGAAATATCGAAAAATAATCAAATTGACGTGGACAGACGCTGCTGTTCACAGGATGACCTACAAAATACTTAGTGGGTAGCACTAAACACACAGCGACTGTTCACAGGATGACCTACTAAATACTTAGTGAGTAGCACTAAACACACAGCCACTGTTCACCGGATGACCTACTAAATACTTAGTGGGTAGTACTAAACACACAGCCACTGTTCATAGGATGACCGACTAAATACTTAGTGGGTAGCACTAAACACCCAGCCACTGTTCATAGGATGACCGAATAAATACTTAGTGGTTAGCACTAAACACACAGCCACTGTTCACATGATAACCTACTAAATACTCAGTGGGTATACGTAGCACTAAACACACAGCAACTGTTCACAGGATGACCTACTAAATACTTAGTGGGTAGGACTAAACACACAGCCACTGTTCACAGGATGCCCTACTAAATACTTAGTGGGTAGCACTAACACACAGCCACGGTTCACAGGATGACCTACTAAATACCTAGTGCGTAGCACTAAACACACAGCCACTGTTCACCGGATGACCTACTAAATACTTAGTGGGTAGCACTAACACACAGCCACGGTTCACAGGATGACCTACTAAATACCTAGTGGGTAGCACTAAACACAAATCTACTGTTCACAGGATGACCTACTAAATCCCTAGTGGATAGCACTAAACACAAAGCCACTGTTCACAGGATGACCTACTAAATACTCAGTGGGTATACGTAGCACTAAACACACAGCAACTGTTCACAGGATGACCTACTAAATACTTTGTGGGTAGCACTAAACACACAGCCACTCTTCACAGGATGACCTATTAAATACTTACTGGGTAGCACTAAACACACAGCCGTCCCGGATACTCCAGGGGTATGTTCACTTTCCCTTTCTGCACCCCTGGACTATCATATGTAATTGCAAAATTGAAGGCTCGGTGTGTGTTACCTTGTGGATAAGACAGGAAGAATAGTTTGATACTTTGATGCATGTACATGGAAAGAATCTCTCGATCTCGTAACAGTAAAACTGACTGGTTTTGAAGTTGGGTGTCACTTGTCTTTAACCTTTAAAGACCCAGGTATCAGCCTTGCAATTTGTCAGGTTTTACTACCCAGCACCAGTCGAATAGCTAGCCGCATGCCTTCAATTTTGCTATGACATATTCCAGGAGTGCAGAGAGCAAAAGTGAGCGTAACCCCTGGAGCATCAATGATGACTCACGGTATGTATGCTATTGAATGTCGGTGTAGTGATTCTAAGATAGGAAACAAACTTACTTGTATGATAGTTTATATGCCCTGACATTTCCATGTCAGACACCTCAATTCAGTTTTAAGCTAGTCAGGCTTACGATTGGAAATCTGAATGGAGTGGCCATCTTCTTTAACTTTCATGACTTCAACCCTGATTGGCTTCTAAATAACACGAGAAAGAGGTAAGAAAAATCAGTCCACATAGGTTCTCCATCCTTCTGTGCTATACAAAGTAGTGTAACAATATGTGACTTTTGTTTATCAAACTTTTGTTAGTTAATTTTGAAGTTTTAATTTTGAAGATAACTAACTAAAGTTAAATAAGCTGATCAACAACTACATGGGTAGATGTAACCCAGCAAAATATACAGATTTATTGTCCACTGACAACTTTGTTAGTTGAATTTAATCATTTTACTATTAACAGATATGAAGCAGTGTGTTAAAGATGACCCTCCAGGCTGAGACCTAATGCTACCAACCTACTGAGGATATTAAATCAAACTACGACATTTTCTACAGTTTAGTTTGCAAAATGACAGGAGAACAAAATGATGGAAGTGATAGACAGAAAGATAATAGACTCCGATCTGGTCGCTCATCCGTTACCTCATTTGTTCGCTTTGTGAACCGGACACACAGGTTTGTGGATACTGTGTGGTTGAACTATGAAGGCGCTCGTGTCAAGTACAAGACTCTACAGCCAGGTCAGTTTGTTGATGTGAACACATTTGTCGGCCATCCTTGGATCTTCAGGGATTCTGACACTGGGGATCATATGGTAGTTCAACTGCGTGAGGTTTTTGAAATGACAACAGGATGGACTCCGACTGATGGGGTACCGCCATGGAGAAAAGTCATCAATATTACCATTCCAGGTAGGCATGCAGGGGCTTGACACTATCATTGTAAACTGAGGATGAAATGATAGTTAGCTTCACAGCCTCGTTTAAAATTGGGTTTGCATTTACACCATCCAAATATCATTTTATATGTAAAATTTCAAATGGCCCCCACACTTTTTCAAGTGTTTTATTTGAACATTGCAGAAGAAACCCATTTTAATTTTAAAAGGACCCCATACTTGAAATAAAGAGCACTACCAGTGGGATTGACCATAGTCATGGCCAGAAATAAATTTTAAAAACACAGGTCAGTTGGGCTAGTAGTTTCCAATGTAAGTAGTCCATGTGCAAATTCCACTAACCCAACATTATTCAAAATGATAAGCAATATGAAGTTTTGACTTTATATCTCGAATAAAAACAAAATACAGAAATTTCTTCATTAGTTATATACATGTAGTATACATTTAACAATATTATGATCAGATGGAGTGTCACATACCAGAATGGGTTACTTAACCTCTGTTCAATATTGTTTCATAGAAAAAGATCAGGCTAAAGGGTTTCAGGAGGCCATGCCTCCAAGTTAAATCTAGAACTTTGCATTTGACTTGTAAATTTATAAATTCATTTAATGAGATGTAAATCCAAATCAATGGCCAATTTTTTAATTTGTGTGTGTGTGTGTGTGTGTGTGTGGGTGGGGGGGGGGGGGGGGGGGGGGAGATCAAAATGAAAAATTAACAGTCAGATTTAAATAAAATCATTCACATGTTCAGATACAACACACAATACTACTGTAACATATTAGAGAGGTGCAGTATGAAGTGTTCGTTATGTTCAGATACACCACACGATACCACGATACTGTTACATATTAGAGAGGCGCAGTATGAAGTGTTTGTTATGTTCAGATACAACACACGATACTGTTACATATTAGAGAGGTGCAGGATGAAGTGTTTGTTATGTTCAGATACAACACACGATACAGTTACATATTAGAGAGGTGCAGAATGAAGTGTTCGTTATGTTCAGATGCAACACACGATACCACGATACTGTTACATACTAGATATGTGCAGAATGAAATGTTCGTTATGTTCAGATACAACACACGATACTGTAACATATTAGAGAGGTGCACAATGAAGTGTTCGTTATGTTCAGATACACCACACGATACCACGATACTGTTACATATTAGATAGGTGCAGAATGAAGTGTTTGTTATGTTCCGATACAACACACGATACCACGATACTGTTACATATTAGATAGGTGCAGAATGAAGTGTTTGTTATGTTCAGATACAACACACGATACTACTGTTACATATTAGAGAGGTGCAGTATGAAGTGTTTGTTATGTTCAGATACAACACACGATACTACTGTAGCATATTAGAGAGGTGCAGTATGAAGTGGTCGTTATGTTCAGATACAACACACGAGACCACGATACTGTTACATATTAGAGAGGCGCAGTATGAAGTGTTTGTTATGTTCAGATACAACACACGATACTACTGTAACATATTAGAGAGGTGCAGTATGATGTGTTCGTTATGTTCAGATACAACACACGATACTACTGTAGCATATTAGAGAGGTGCAGTATGAAGTGTTTGTTTTGTTCAGATACAACACACGATACTGTTACATATTAGAGAGGTGCAGAATGAAGTGTTTGTTTTAATTGTCAGGACTTTAAATCTGCAGGTCAAAAAGCACTGACATTGTTTCATACAGTTGTCGGAGAAATACTTAAAAATAAATTTGGTATACATGTGTGTATGTTTATAGATTACTTGTTTACTGTCAGTCACGTGATATGTAACCTGTATCTTTTTCAGTTTTCACCCTTAAGGACAGGAGTCTGCAGGTGATCAGGAGTTTTGTGAACAGAGACAGAATAAATGAGCTGGACCTACCTCAGACACTGAAGGAGGAAATTAATGTCATGTGGGAAACAACAAGACGGAGGAGACTAACCGACAGCCCCAATAATTCTGTGGCAGAATCTTCTCAAGATGTTCACTGAGCTTGTGAAGCTTTAAAACCTGGTAACACCCACGGCCTGAGGAAGAACATGTACAATTTGTTCTGTTCAGGGCATCCTCAAAATTCCACTGGTAACCGGTTGTGTTCTCTTATATTCTCTGTACCCCTGGAATATGTCACAACAAAATCGAAGGCATGCAGTAAGCTAGTTGATTGGTTTCAGGTGTAAATAATTAAATTCAGCTGATACCTTTAAAGTTATATAGGAGCAATACCTGACTTCAAAGTTTCATTTCTGCTCAATTCTTTGATGTACATGGAATGATCAAACTAGTCTACTAGTATCATCCTAGAGGTAGTACATACAGAGCCTTTAATTTCGTCATGACACATTCCAGGGGTGCAAAAATGTAAGGCAGTGTAACCCCTGGATTTTCAAGGACAATGTCAGAGTGACAGACCACCAATGGAAGTAATGCATGCATACTACATGCAGATTTAGGGCCATGTTTTCTCGTACCATCACAGGAAGAAAACATACAATCTGTGCATTTTTAGGGCCATATTTTCTTGTACCATCACAGGAAGAAAACATACAATTTGAGCAGTTACAGAACAGGATGAGAGAATTGTGGGACTATAAAAAGAACGGAATGTAGTTAATAGTATATCAATACGGTTCTGATTGTACTTAACACTAATTGAAACAGACACTTCCATGATATCAGTGTACTGGTCACAGAAACAGAGACTTCTATGATATCGGTGTACTGGTCACAGAAACAGAGCCTTCTATGATTTCAGTATACTGGTCACAGAAACAGAAACTTCTATGATATCAGTTTACTGGTCACAGAAACAGAGACTTCCATGATATCAGTGTACTGGTCACTGAAACAGAGACTTCTATGATATCGGTGTACTGGTCACATAAACAGAGACTCCTATGATGTCAGTGTACTGGTCACAGAAACAGAGCCTTCTATGATTTCAGTATACTGGTCACAGAAACAGAAACTTCTATGATATCAGTTTACTGGTCACAGAAACAGAGACTACTATGATATCAGTGTACTGGTCAAAGAAACAGAGACTTCTATCATATCAGTGTACTGGTCACAGAACCAGAGACTTCTATGATATCAGTGAACTGGTCACAGAAACAGAGACTTCTATCATATCAGTGTACTGGTCACAGAATCAGAGACTTCTATGATATCAGTGAACTGGTCACAGAAACAGAGACTTCCATGATATCAGTGTACTGGTCACTGAAACAGAGACTTCTATGATATCGGTGTACTGGTCACATAAACAGAGACTTCTATGATATCAGTGTGCTGGTCACAGAAACAGAGACTTCCATGATATCAGTGTACTGGTCACAGAACCAGAGACTTCTATGATATCAGTGAACTGGTCACAGAAACAGAGACTTCCATGATATCAGTGTACTGGTCACAGAAATAGAGACTTCTATGATATCAGTGTGCTGGTCACAGAAACAGAGACTTCCATGATATCAGTGTACTGCTCACAGAAACAGAGACTTCTATAATATCAGTGTACTGGTCACAGAAAAAGAGACTTCTATGATATCAGTGTGCTGGTCACAGAAACAGAGACTTCTATAATATCAGTGTACTGGTCACAGAAGCAGAGACTTCTATGATATCAGTGAACTGGTCACAGAAACAGAGACTTCCATGATATCAGTGTACTGGTCACTGAAACAGAGACTTCTATGATATCGGTGTACTGGTCACAGAAACAGAGCCTTCTATGATTTCAGTATACTGGTCACAGAAACAGAAACTTCTATGAAATCAGTGTACTGGTCACAGAAACAGACTCCTATGATATCAGTGTACTGGTCAAAGAAACAGAGACTTCTATGATATCAGTGTACTGGTCACAGAAACCAGACTTCTATGATATCAGTGTACTAGTCACAAAAACAGACTTCTATATCACTGTTCTAGTCAGTAAAGATAGCTTCAAATTTGTACAGGGATTTTTGTGTGAGAGGTATTTGTGAATGAGGAGTTTGAATGTTTTGAACTTAAATATTAATATTTAGTTACAGAAGGCTGTAGAATTCGGCAGATTATGCTAGTAATTAAGTAGTCCAAGTACTGAGGTCAAACATTAGGGGTAGCTCTTAGTCAGTCCTGAGACAAAGTGTCAGACTGAGTGTGACACATAAGGAACAGCTCTAAGTTAGTTCTGAGACTGAGTGTGACACATAAGGAACAGCTCTAAGTCAGTTCTGAGACTTCAGTGTGACACATAAGGAACAGCTCTAAGTTAGATCTGAGACTGAGAGTGACACATAAGGAACAGCTCTAAGTTAGTTCTTAGACTGAGTGTGACACATAAGGAACAGCTCTAAGTCAGTTCTGAGACTTGAGTGTGACACATAAGGAACAGCTCTAAGTTAGGTCTGAGCCTGAGTGTGACACATAAGGAACAGCTCTAAGTTAGATCTGTGAGTGAGTGTGACACATAAGGAACAGCTCTAAGTTAGATCTGTGAGTGAGTGTGACACATAAGGAACAGCTCTAAGTTAGATCTGTGACTGAGTGTGACACATAAGGAACAGCTCTAAGTCAGTTCTGAGACTTGAGTGTGACACATAAGGAACAGCTCTAAGTTAGTTCTGTGACTGAGTGTGACACATAAGGAACAGCTCTAAGTTAGGTCTGAGCCTGAGTGTGACACATAAGGAACAGCTCTAAGTTAGGTCTGAGCCTGAGTGTGACACATAAGGAACAGCTCTAAGTTAGATCTGAGACTGAGAGTGACACATAAGGAACAGCTCTAAGTTAGTTCTTAGACTGAGTGTGACACATAAGGAACAGCTCTAAGTCAGTTCTGAGACTTCAGTGTGACACATAAGGAACAGCTCTAAGTTAGATCTGAGACTGAGAGTGACACATAAGGAACAGCTCTAAGTTAGTTCTGAGACTGAGTGTGCCACATAAGGAACAGCTCTAAGTTAGTCCTGAGACTGAGTGTGACACATAAGGAACAGGTCTAAGTTCTGAGACAGAGTGTGACACATAAGGAACAGCTTTAAGTTAGTTCTGTGACTGAGTGTGACACATAAGGAACAGGTCTAAGTTAGTTCTGAGACTGAGTGTGACACATAAGGAACAGCTATA